TTGCCTAAGATCTTGGGTGAATTCAACATGTCCTTGGGCAGATTTAAGTAAAGTATCTAGGAAACATATCTCCTTTTGATATGTAAGAAAATAGCTTGGTTCAGAGTCACCTATTTCAGGACAGGAATCACACATTTTATTTTCATCACTTCCTAGCTGTGTGACCTTGGGCAGGCTGCTTACATTCCCTTTGCCTTGTCTCCGCACCTGCAAAATGGCAATAATAATAGCATCTATCTCATAGGAATGTTGTGGTGATTAAATGAGACTATGCTTGTTAAGTATTTCTCAATGACTGGGGAAGAATAGGTACTCGAGCTATTCTTATTCTTGCTTGGAATGAGTGAAAATGTGTGGTAGGTGAATTTTTAAAATTATAATTACATAAAGATTATTAAAAATACAACTATAAAAGGGCTAACCAGATGTATAAAACAACCTGGATTTCTGACAAAGGTGTTGAGCATTCGTGAGCACTCTCCTAAGGAAAAAAAATAAAATAAAAAAAGATGAATCAGGCACATCAACTAATACCAACAAAGCCGAAATAAAACACTTAATTCTGTGAATTCAATCCTCTGGTTTCCAACCTTAGAAAGACCAGAATTTAAGGGTATTTCAAACTCAGCTATCTAGTAGAGAACATAGAAGCAAAGGGCAGATTCAGTCAGTTTCTCTTGGTGTACACTGGAAAAGATTAATGGGTGCCTTGTGTTTCAATATTAAGTTCTAATTTGTGAGATTCCTATGACCTTCACTTCTTGACATTTAGGAGAAAGATTAAATGTGTCTCTACGCTGTGCTCCACATCTATTGGAAAGCTCCACTAGACCCGTGGTCGGCAAACTGCGGCTCGTGAGCCACATGCGGCTCTTTGGCCCCTTGAGTGTGGCTCTTCCTAAGCTTTAGGAGTACCCTAATTAAGTTAATAATAATGTACCTGCCTATGTAGTTTAAGTTTAAAAAATTTGGCTCTCAAAAGAAATTTCAATCGTCGTACTGTTGATATTTGGCTCTGTTGACTAATGAGTTTGCTGACCACTGCACTAGACAATTGTGTTCATTACTGATCATGAGACTTAAAATAGTGACTTAAATCAAGCAGAGACTTCTTTTTCTCTTATAAAATAGGAAGTCTGAAGTTAAGTATTCCAGAGTGGATAGGGTACCTTCAAAGTGTCATGAGAACCCTGGGCTACTTTCAGCTCTAAGTTCGACCAGCCCTGGCGTGTGACCCTTGTCCTTATGTTTACAAGATAGCTACTGGAGCTCCAGTGTTTTAGACAAAGAGAAGAAAGATGCAGGGAAATACAAGTAGGGTCTTCTGACTGATTCATCTCTCTTTAAAAAGCTTTCCCTGGAAGCCCCACTCAATGACCTTCAATTATATCTCATTGCCTCTCCCCCAACAAGTACCTTTGTAAAGAAAGTTGGACAGCTTGCCACACCCAACAATATAGGAATTCTGTAGTGAAAAGGAAGAGAAGACGTATACTACTTAGAGACCTAGCAATCTTTGCAACATTGAGCTCTTTATAAATTGTTGTATTTTAAGAAAAAGACAAAAGGAGAGAAGAAGAAAAAGGAGAGAAAATAATCTGCTAACTTATCCCTTTAACCTTCTATGAGCTCCTAAGGCCAGGAACTGTGCCTCATTCATCATTGTGTCCCCAGGGCCTAGCTCAGTACCTGGCCCATAGTCAGTGCTCAGTAAATATGAGTTTAGCTGGCCAGTGTTGCTCAGTGGTTGAGTACCAACCTATGAATCAGAAGGTCAGGGTTCAATTCCCAATAGGGGGCATGCAGGAGGCAGCTGATCAATGATTCTTTCTCACCATTGATGTTTCTCTCTCCCTCTCCCTCTCCCTTCCTCTCTGAAATCAATAAAAATATATTGTAAAAATGAATAAATAAATATGAGTTTAATGATTGAACTAAAGGACAAGATACAGGTATAAAATAATAAGACAGATTACAGACTTGTGTGAAAATTCAAGTATTCTAAATGTAGATGCTTGGTCTTAAAAGACTTGTTCTCACAACAACTCAATAAAAGAGTATTATAATTAACCTCATTTTATATATGAGGAGACTGAGGCTAAGAGAGTTTAAGTAACATACCCAAAGTGAGACATTCTCAGGGCCTCATGTAAGAGCAGGTGATGTCATCAAAGCTACTGGGGGCCTCAGCCAAGTGAAATGACCCAGTGCTCACCAGGGAGGAGCAGAGCAGGCACAACACAAGCAGGGCAGCTGGGCAGCATACTGCCCTTCTCACCACTCAGCTAGCACCACCCATCCCCCATGCAAGTCCTGGCCAGCATGGCCAATGCCACTGCCCTGCTATGCACAAGGGAACGATCTAGATGAAATATTTAATTTCCTTCCGTTTTACTGATGAGGACACTAAATTCCCACAGAAGGTTGGCATTTTGTCCAAGGTCGCACAGCTCAAAGGATTAGAATCGGGTGTACCAACTCCCAGTCAGGTGCTAAATTGGACCTCAAGTTTCCATCAGCACCAACCTCTCAAGAAATCAGTGCAGTTGCCTGGAAGCAGAACTAAGATGAACTGAGAGCTACAAGATACTTCTTTCCACCACCCCAGGCTAACATATCCACTCCCCTGGCACCCATCCCAGCATCTGTGGTTGAGGGTGCTAGATCCAGATTGCAGTAGCATTGAGGGAAGAGGAGGCATTAATAACAAGTGGGGGAGGGGGAGAGGCATCACCAAAAGTGCCTCCATGCCAGTAGCCTCTAGGAGCTAACACCTTAGCCCTGGCCCCTCTAATGGGAGATGTGAGCAGGAGCAGGGTGTCCCACCACCCTGGTTTCCACACGTGTCCTGGTTTAGCACTGAATGTCTTGCATCCTGAGAAATTATTCAGAATGCTGGCAAGCAAGGGCAGTTGGTCACCCCAGCATACTTCTGCTGTTTCTCATGGGCCATACGTTTAAAGACTTTCAAGAAGGGAGCAAGAAGGAACCAAAGGTAGCCAGTCCTCAACAGTGGATTCAAGCTGTCAAAGAGTCATGTGTTGAGTGCTGAATTGGTGATAGGCGCTGGACACGGGACAATCATTGCTCCTGAACACTCACCCAGCACTGAGCGAAAGGGGCTTCTTATAGATACACGTTCACTCACATCATCGCTTAAAGACAGATGCTATTGTTCTTCCACTCTCAGAGAAGAATCTGAGGCACATGAAATGTTCCCCACATGAAACAGCAAGAAGGCGACACAGGTAGGGTTGGGCCAGGTAGAGGGATTCCAAGGTTTGTACGCTCCCTTCTTCATGGTCCTGCCTCACAGAAGGAGGGAGGGCTCCCTCTTCACTAAAGAAGCCCACAGCCTGGGAGGCAGGACAGGCAAACGCTCAAATTCCTGAAGGAGGAATAAGCATGATACCTTGGCTGACATTGTACCTGAAGTAGCCGTGGACCTGCTCAGCCTCTACGTAAAAAGTTTAATTCAATCATCCTACCACATGCACAGAACTGTTACCTGCATTTAACAGAGGATCAGACTGTGGCTAAGAGAGGCCAAGCACCTTACCCAGTGTGGCACAGGTGGTGATGCTGGGGTTCCAATGCAGAAATCTAATCCTATGAGAGGGCGGAACTAGCAGTGCTTAGGAGCTCAGGCAGTTTGTTACCCACGGCCAGTGGAGCCACAGATTAAGTGCTCTGGACATTTAGCCATTCCACTCTTATAATTCCTTTGTGCTAAGAAGGCCAGGCCCAGTCTTGAGCCCTGGCCTGTGTTCAGCCAGCAGCCCCAGAGCTGGTGGTGGCCACTATTGTTTTGCAAGCCAGTGAGCCAAAGGCCAAGCAGAGAACTTGACGATGCTGACAGAACGTTCAGTCCTGCCACAGTGCTCTTTCCTTAAGGATAAACACAGCTCGGTGCTGTTCTGAGAAGCGCCTTTCCATGCCCTACCCCAGCCTGCCCCTCGATTGTTGCTGTTTGCTTCCTGCTCCAGAGAAGGGTTGAAGACAAATTATCTACATACATTCAACCATGGCGAGGGGGAGGCTGTCTCGGGTCCTGCCCGTCACGGAGCTGTGGGCTCAGGTTATTGTTACTGCGTGAGCAAGAGGCATTATTAGTATAGATGTATTCCAGAAGTGACTTGTTTAAAAATCTTGCAAGGGGGCAATGCCTGAGAGCACATGCTACCACTATGCCCGCAGAATCCTCTTTGGCGGCAGCAGTTTCTGGGAGCTCTGATCTCCCACGCGAGAATCCCTACTCCTTCACCACTTGTGCTGAGTGGCAGCATAACTGAGGTTCCTAGATGGCAGAGTGGCCTCTAAGAGGGACCCCGCCTTCCTATCATGAAGATGGGGTCCCTCTTAGAGGTCACTCTGCCTCTAGAAGAACTCTGCTGCTTCTCCCACAATGACAAGGGGAAGTGAGCCGCAAAGCAGAGCGGAGAGTTACTTCTCTGCAAAGAAAGCAAGCCACCCTCCTAGATGCTAAGGCCATGAGGACACTAACCTAGTGCCAATTGCAGCTAAATAATCTGGTGGAAAACCAGTAATAAGTGCTCTGATGAAGCTGAGAATACTTGGGCTTGTGTGTGATGATGATGATGATGATGATGATTTATTTTTATTTTTTTTTAATATATTTTATTGATTTTTTACAGAGAGGAAGGGAGAGGGATAGAGAGTTAGAAACATCGATGAGAGAGAAACATCGATCAGCTGCCTCCTGCACATCTCCCACTGGGGATATGCCCGCAACCCAGGTACATGCCCTTGACCGGAATCGAACCTGGGACCTTTCAGTCCGCAGGCCGACGCTCTATCCACTGAGCCAAACCGGTTTCGGCATGATGATGATGATTTAAAACAATAATCGTCATATTTACCACATGCCAAGCACTGGACCTAATCACTTTACATATGCATTTTGACACGCTATGAGGTATTATTACCATCTCCATTTTATAGATGTGGAAAGTAAGACACAGAGAGGTTAAGGTACTTACCCCAGATGAAACAGCTAGAAAGCAGCAGAGCTGGGATTTGAACACACAAGGTCCATGGAAAACTATGGGAGCATGTCTGTGGGGTACCTTCAGGGGTGACTATGACAAAGCTGTGAAGTGCTGTGGGATTCTGGGTGACCACTGCCTATTGCAGAATATGAATGTTGTTTTTCCTTGTAACAAAGCCACCTTCTGGGCCCCATGCATGGAAGCCTGCAAGCCCAAAGCACTGCTCGGTAGAGAAAATACCCTAGTTTCTAGCTGGGAGCTGGGAGCTGGTATAGAAAAGTGTATCATCTCGGACATAACAGTGTCTGACGCCAGGTCACCCCTGTGAATACACTATGTCACCCTGCTTCAAGAGCTGGATCAAACAACTCTCTCTATCTCCCCAAACCAAAGGTTTTCTCCACGTCTGTGAAGAAGGTGAAAGAGGGTGGCTCCCCTGCCCAGGCTGAATTTAAAGAGTCCTCACTGCAGCCTCACAAAGATCATGTTCTGTTTGCTTCTTCTGTGACCTGTGCCTTCTCACTGGCCACTGGCCAAATCAGGCCCAAGAATGATGTGCCCCAGCGTTGCCTGGGTGTCTTCAGAGCCCAGCTCGTATTTCCGGGGTGGAGGGGGTCAGCCTGATATACATCCACTGCTGAGCAAGGGGTCCATTCACCTGAAGAAAGAATCCCAAAATCAGAAGCAGCATTCATGACATATCTCTAAACTTAAAAACTAGATTACAAAATAATAGGTAAGTTTGATAGTATTTGGGGGAAGAAAAAGCAACAACAATAACAGTTGTTTGTTGGGCCTTACCGTATGCCAGACACTGCTACCGCTTTCATTTATCCTAGAGGAATTCTGTCCCATAGAAGGCATCAGCTAGGTATGAACACCTCGAGACTAAAAAGATTAAGTGAATCACCCAAGGCATAAGTGGTGGAGTCAAGATTAACCCCAGCTGACTCACCACACACCCTACTCACATCATTGTCCCAGCCTCCACATACAGCAAGATGTTAGCTGTGGGGACTTTTATACAAGAGACTAACTGCTAGGGTCAGAATTTCTTTTTTTTTTTTTTAATTTTCTGTGTTTCCCAAATTTTACGTGCTAAGCATTCTTATTTTGCATTGGGGGGATGGGGTGGGGTAGTGTGAGAGTGGAGGATGTTACTAAGAATAAAAAAGTAGAGATATTTTTTCAAATAAGAGAAATAATACAAAACCCCCAAAGTCATTAATGTCTGCAGCTCACAACCAGATAACTAAATCCTGGTGTCCACCCCTCCTCCTACTGAGTTCAGTGTGTGGCAGCCTGAAGGCTCTCCTCTCCACCCATCCCTGGCCCGCCCTCCTCTGCTCCTCACCACCCATATGCCCTTCTGCTGCTGCCTCGCCTCAGGGAGCAGCCCCCGCCCCCATTCTCAACCAAAAAGCAAGCCCAAGTCCAGGATGTGAGTGGCCAAAAGGTGGTGGACAGGACCAGAGTAAACAAATTTTCCAGGTAACCACCTTATGGAAAGGGTGTTTCTGGACACTGGGCCCAAATACTACAAAATAACAAGAAATGATCCTGAAAAGACTAACACCTCACCATCCTGAGCCCTGAGGAGATCCAGGAGAGCTGCCTTCTGAACCCTAAAGAAGAAGCAATCCTTCAATGCCTACACTGTCCTTAGCATTATCAATCAACTCCGCTCCCTGTGATGGAGATATAAACCTACGCAGGGAGTTTACAACCAGTTGGAGAGGCAAGACAGGCCTCAGGTAAGTAAGAAAAAGGACACCTCTTTTAGCACACCCATATGGTGCTGATTTGTGATAGCACAGGCATCTCCGAGTGGTTTACATTCATTCACTGTGGTGCTGCATTGTGTGGTCGGTGTGTAATTCTCTCACAGCCAGCCAGTCGTACAGTGAACAGCATGCTTTTGTATGTCCTCAGTGTTGGGAGACAATTCTCTGTGGGTTGCTCGGGTTTCTGTATGTCTTACAAGTGTGGCACTGAACGTCTTTTCGAGGATATTTGTACAAAGAAAAGCCTTAGGAGATAGAGCTAGTGTCTCCCCCCAGAGCAAAGGGCAGGCTTGCTCATTGCCATTGTAAAAGATCCTTAACAGGAATCTTAAAAATGGCCCATACGCTCAGGGTTCTTCTCCATAAGACAATGCAGTGCCTGTCCTGGTGTATCACGCTATGAAAATTAGGGCTCAGGGGACCTGCTTGGCATTACCAATACTCTAGCTACTGTCACTGCTGTGAATAACAAACGGTGCTTTGTCTCTAACCCAGAAGGCTCATGTTTTCTACCAGAATCCATGACACTGTGGCAAGCGAACTCATTACTGTGTAAGGAGGGTAAAATTCCAGACACTTCATAGTTTGTGACACTGAGCCAGTGGGTTCTAACATGTTATAGTCTCCTTTTCTCAACCTGAGGGACACAGTCCATTCCATTCACTCAGCTAAGGTCTCTCATCCTGCCATTATGTGTGTGTGTGTGTGTGTGTGTGTGTGTGTGTGTGTGTGTGGACAGTTTTCATAATTATGATTGAAATATGGGGATATACAAGTGATCAAATAAATAAATTTGATCTGCAGCAAATAAATTAAGGGGCAATCTCACCAGCCATAAAAGGCAAGAATAACAGTGGCTCAAGACTCCTTCATGAAAATGGTTAGGAAATCAAGGGTACAGAGCAACAGGATATAAGGCATTGGTTGAAATTCTTTGATGTAAGAAGAGCATTAAAACACCAGTGTTTTCAGGGAAGGTTGATCAATAGTTGCAGGAAGAACTTAAGAGAATGGAAGAATGACCTGCAAATGCCACTGAGAATGCATCCTCACTGGGGATGAGCCAGAAAGACCAAATAGCATTGATTTCACTTGGAGCTCCCATCCCCGGGAAGGCACTTTCTCAATAGCATATGCCCTCATTCCACCACATGGCACAGATACGTGCCAGAGAACTTGTAAATCGGAGTCCTTTTCTGATTCCTGCTCTGCATGTAAATGTGGCCATATTGAGATTTTTGTCCTAAAATACTCTGGGAAGAAAAGTTAATTGTAAGGTGCAGTCAAAAACATTGCACACAATTATTCCCTTTAATTTTTCTTTCAGCTATGGGAAGTCATGACCATGTTGCAAAATAATAACCTCCGAAAATAGAGCATTTAAGGAAACAATTTAGTCATTAAAATGCACAATATAATTAACCTGACTTAAATTTTCCAGTACAAACAATCATTGTGCTACCTGGTAACCAGACAGAAGCAAATGACTTGGATGAATGTAATTAGTATTACTTTGATGCAAAAACCAAGGGCTTGCAATTCTTTCCTTTTCTCTCATTTTCAGGACCATTTACTCTAACCTCATGCATCAAGGACAGTGAAGGACACACAGTGGGGCTTCCGTACTACCAAGCTTTTAATGGCTGGGAAGAAGGTGACCAGATTAAATGATCCACCCATTAAGGACACAATCCAATGGTTTTCAGGATATTCAAAGTATTGTGCAACCACTGCTACAATGTTCTACTGTGCTAGAATATTTTCATCACTTCAACAACAAACTTTCAGTAGTCACTCTCAGTTCTCTTTCAACCTGCTACCCTTCTACCCCCAGCCCAGCCCTTGGCAAATTGAAACCTTTTTAATTTGGGAGGAGAAGTTATGAGAGTGGAATGTAGAATCCCTGTGACTATAGCACTTTTTCTTAAAAAAAAAAAAACAATTACAGTAGGTGTCACTGGGCCAGGAATAACTATTTTCTGGCTAGGAATTTACCACTTCCCTGAGCTCTGGCTTAGCCATCGGCAGCCTCTATGTAAAGCTGGTGTTCAAGAAGCTCAGAACCAAGCCATAGAGAGCAGCGGTAGAGCAAGCTGGAAAAGGGCTCGTGACCTAAAAAATCCAGAAAGATCTATTTTTCCAGGTATCATTTTCAAGTTAGATGATGGGACTATTCCATTGGACAAAGAAGTTGTAACCCAGACAAGTTTCCTGGGCCCTTTGCTTACCCAGGGATAAGCAGTTAGAACTGTCTTGAGTTATTTCCATCCCTAAAATGGTTCTTTTTAACTTTACTCAGAATCAGAATCACCACCTGAGGGTGCTTATTAAAAATCAATCATCCTCAGTTACAACCCAGAATGGAAACTGTGTTTTTAACAAGTAGCCCAGGTGATTCTGATGGAGGTCCTTCCTGGACCCATTTGGCAACACTGCAGGATTTTCTAAGGACTCTGAGTTACACTTAACTCTGCCCCTTAGTGTGGCTTTCTCATGGCCATGGTGTCGCTCAAGACTGGGAAGAGGGATGAAGGGGAGAATGCTCGAGATTGGGGAAGGGAAGAGTAGAGTGCCAGTACAAGTGAGATGTGAAGAAAGAGTTTGGCAAAGAACATTCTGGAGGCCTTTTGAAGATGCTCAGACAGGACAGAACTTGCCATATCTATCACCTGTATTATTATTTAACTTGTATATATTCGTGTATATCAATGCAATAAATACTACCAGTTCCTTTAGACATGTCCTAAGAAATAATATCCAGGTTAGATAGTTTTTTCAAATACACATTACAAAAATATATAACTATTGACATTTTAAAATATGTCTGTGTACTACTAAAGTCTTTACAAAACTACCAGCAATCAAAACACCATCTTTAGAAAACATTCATTTACTCTGTGAGCTTCCGGAGGGCATGGATTATGTTTCTTCGCTTTGAATTCCTTGTGATGACTATTCTTCCTCCAGGACACAAAGTTTTTAAAGAAAAATCTGTTTTCCAGAGTCAAGATTAACCTCTTGTCCACCACTTAAATAGGGCATAGTTCATCAGAGGTCAAGGGTCATGAACAGCTGCTCTCTGGTTATGCACACGATTGCCACTGTAAAATGCAAATATGCTGCAAGTTAGAGGTTAATGCAATCTCTCTAGAGGCTATTAGAATGACTATTAGTACTCTTCTCTTTATTGCTTACTTTTAAAGTTCAGTCTTTCACTGGGTGAAAAAGGTAAAGGGATTAAGAAGTGCAAATTGGCAGTTATAAAATAGTCATGGGAATGTCAAGTACAGCATTGAGAATACATTCAATAATATTGTAATAACTTTGTACGGTGTCAGGTGGGTACGAGACTTCTCAGGGAGATCACTTTGTAAGTTATATAAACGTCTAACCACTATACTGTACACCTGAAACTAATATAATATTGAATGTCAACTGAAATTGAAAAATTAAAAAAATACATTTTTAAGTTCAGCCTTTCAAGAAAGCCTTCAGAGTTAAAAAAAAAAAAAAGTATATAATATTCCAAAGTGCATAAATTCAAAAATATAAAGGAAGTTCATTTGAAATGGAAAACAAAAGCTCAAATGTAGTTTTTTTGCAGGTATAAGTTCTGTTAAACACATACAAAAGAATGTGTTCAGATGAATTTAAAATACGTCTTTATCACTGGCTATTTCTCCTTCTTCAACATTCCTTAATAAAGGAGGCTTTTAACAAAGCTGCTTGCATATAGAATAGGAAATTTATATCCTAGTCTTCTAGAAACATAATGCAATCATAGTTTGCAAATGCAAATTTAGGCAAGACACTAGACTCAGTAAATAGAGATTTATGAGATTGTCTCATTAATATTGCTTAGAAACCAGGTATTTCATAAAAGGGGTGAAATGAAATCCTCTATAGCATTTTGAGCATCCTACTCATAATGAGATACTTAAGTGTTGCAAATTGGGGAGGGTATAGTAATATTTTATATACTAATAGTAAGTGCAGTCCCGTTTATTTTACTTTGGTTCATTTTGTTGCATGATAGCTGTATTCATGCCATTCGCCATTTTGCAGGACATAAAATGGAAGCATAAACTGATGTTCCCTTTTCTGGTGTAATGTTTTTATAGTGCCAATTGAGTAAACATCCTCAG